GAGTGATAATACAACAATAATAGTTTTGAAAAAAAAAAAAAAAAAAAAAGATTTTTATTAAGCATAAGTAAATATCTAAAAATGATAGGAAATAATAAGTTCGTCTAAGAGAAGCAATATCCATAGGATTCCAAACATCAAAATGAATAAAAATTAATAATATTGTTGTACATATGGCAAGTATTTTGGATGAAGATGTTTTATTGTATTTAATATAAATATAATATTTATAAAAAAGTAAATTATTTATTAATAAAAATGACTTAAAAATAAATTGATGGCATATCATATGTTATATGTTAGGATGATTAAAAAGCCTCAATTAATAATGCTATAACATTAAAATATTTCTTGAATCTAAAATGGATTGAGTGGAAGGCTATTGATTATTGTTTGAGGTTAGATGCCTCTAAGCAATTATGTTGGTAGTAGCCATGTAGGCTTGGTCCATGCTAGTGGTAATTATGGTTATGTAGATTTTGGCTATGTTGTCTTTGATCGCATGAATTTGGGCCATGCTTGCATGGAGTATACAAATATAGGCTATTTTGACATAGACCATGTCAATTTAGGTCGTGTCAGCTTCGATTGCATTGATTTAATCAATGCTAGCTTGGGCAATAGCTAGACAAGTCTATGTTGCATTAAGGCTACTATAAGCCTATATTGCAATAGAACTATTAGTTACTACAAGATCACTATTGAATGTAGAAATGTGAGATTGTTGTAGCAATTGAAAACTAGTAGCTATTATCATGACCATTATTGCATTAAGATTGAACAGTACAGATAAAAGATGGCCAGAGGTCAAAGCTCTCATATAATATAATAAGAATATTATCAGAGCTTCATTTGTTTGTAGAGAGCTATTGGTGCTTCAATATAGATTGTATGTTTGAGGGTTATTGTTGCCTATAGTAGAGACATATGACTTAAGTAGTAGAGCCTAGACAAGTATTGAGGTTGTGATGATAGAAGCACTTAAATCTGTAGTTGGACTATTACATTGTGTGAAGGTAAATTTTACCCTTCAACTTAAATTACAAGATGGCTTGAATTAAAAGTTGCTTATAATTGGTAGTGTAAAGTAGAAGTAGCAAGAACAAGAACAAAAGAAGCACAATACAAAATAAGTAAAAAAAATGCAATCAAGCAATTGTATACTATAAAACCAATTACAGTTTATTTATTAGATTTTTACATAGTAAAAAATAAAAATAAAAAATAAAAAATAATTTTGGATCAATAATTTTTTTTTTTTTTTTCAATAAAAAAAATATATAAATCTAAGTTACTATAAGTAAGTTACGATAGATTAAAGATAGAAGATAAATAATAAAAAAGTTAAATGAATAATTTTTATCTCAAGAATAATTTACTTAAGAGATTAAGAATTTGAACCTCATCAAGGCTTATAATTAGTATATATGGATCTCTAAAAGAGGCCACAAGATCTTAGTCTTATCTTTCTAACTACCTTCAAGGTACTAAAACCCATATGTGACTTGTGCACCTTCCTTCTTACAAGGACTATACTAGCTAGTGGTCCTCCTATTTTCTACTAATAAAACCAATATTTTTTTATTTTTGACTTCACCATAGTATTTAAAAATATTCAATTAGTTGAAGAACTTCTTATGGCCTTCAAATCTTACTCCATTTCTTCATAATGGCTCCCAAAGTGGTAAAACTTATTTTTATCAAAGTCTTAAAAATTACTCTAAATATTCTTTAAAAATTCTAAAAAAATTCTAAAAATTCCTACAATATCTTTATAATATTAATATAAATTTAAAGCTATATTTTTCTACCTTGGTGATTTATCATAGTAATAAAATTAATTTAAATTTCTATAAATTATATTTTTTATATTAATAATTAAAATAAAAGTAATTCTTTTCATATTTCTTTTAATTATTGATTAATATTTATAATTTTTTATAAGTAATACATATAGATAGAAGGCCAATGTAAATATTTATTTTAATAAATAATTTTTAATACTTAATAATAAATAAAAATATTAAATTAAAGAAGATAATTACCTCTAAGACTTACTAAGATTCCATTTCTACGACTAAAATTCTAATTTTCTATTTTTATAGGAATTTATTTATTATTCACCATATATTATAATTTAAATTATTTTAAATATATTTTTTTATCCTAAAATAACTTATGATTTGATTTAATGACTCATATATTAAATCAATAAAATTGAACTATGGAAGGAGATGACTTGTAATTTGGATAAATTGATACATTTGTTATTTAACACATTTAATATAGTAGTTGGAACCTATAGCCGATTTTAATTGTAATTAGAACAAATTTTAGTAAGTCATCGTCATATTGAGATTGAAGTTGCTTCTTTAAAGCAAGGCCTTATCAAGACTAAGATTTTTTCTTTGAGTTTCAATAGAGATCAAACAAGTAGGATTTAGCCATCGATTAGTAATTGTGAGGTTGTCATTAAGTATTGAAAATGATTGTCTTATATATTACGTGAAGATAGTATTAGTAAAATTTCTTCAACTAAAGAATATAAATTACAATATTTGGAGATTAAAAAATAATTAATTCTACTAGTCCAAGGTAATTTACTATTAATTACATATATATATATATATATATATATATATATATATATATATATTACTTATAAAACTTAATTTTTTGTGTCTAATTTTAGTTATTTGAACCATTAACAATAGATTTCTTTTTAATCCTAGAATATAAAAAATATCTAAAATTTATATATGTTAACCAAATTTGAATTATAGGATGACAAATCCAATGCCTTGAGGAATATATAAACTATTATCTTATGATAAAATAAATTTTTAATCACACAAAAATTTCTTATAGAAATATACTTGAGAACCTTTCTTTGATTGTTTGTATATATACTTGATGTGATTTCAAATTTCCTTTGATATAGGTAGTTTGCATAATGTTATAATTTGTTTATTTCCATAATGTACAAGTATTTTTATACATGCTTTTACATCCTTTAAACTCTGGGCATGCAATTGTACCATATTACTTGCATTAGGTGCAGCTTTAATGCCATTAATCACTCCCTACATTTCTACTCAATTCAAAAGAGCCTCCAATTTAATATTCCAAGTGTAATGATTAATGTAGACAACAAAGGTATTAATGGAAAGTGAGAAGTAATATGAAAAGACATAGTGGAAGAGTTTTTTACTTATATTAAAGAAAAGGAAGGAAAATTAGTGCTTTGAGATTATATAAGAAAAAGAACATTAAAAATGATAAAATAACATAACTTGATTACATAACAATAATAAAAACCTCATATATTATCTTGTGGAGAGAAGTAGTTATAATTTCTTTGTAACTATTTTTTATCTACTTAACAATAATCCTATATTTATTGACATATATTAATTAATCTAACATGTATTAATAAATCTAATAAGTTTAAGTAGATATGATACAAACTATATTAAATGCATAAATTACTCTACTTTGGTATTTAGATTAATAATTTTTTAACAAAAATAAATATTTATCAAAATATAAAAATTAAATCATGATCTATTTTTGCATATATATAAATAAGTTGTCAATGTAATCCTAAAAATATTTTAAATTCAAAGTAAAAACTTATATTGAATTACAAACAATATAATAAGATAGTTTATATAATAGAAAACCACATTGGTTCCAAAAGATTTTTTTACATATACATGTTTTATACAAATGGATAATATATTTGTAAAAAGTATTGACAGTAACTTAGTGAGGAGCTATGTTGTACAATTTCATAGCCTACGTGCTTGAGCAGAGTTGCAAACCCCTAATGAGCAAATTTTTTGATGGCAATTTGATTGAATGATTATATTGATTCATTTTCATGCATTAATTTGCAAAATGATGTTACTGTGATGTTTTTCTGGTGCATGAGTCACCTCTTTGAAGTTTCTGGCCAGTTTAAGGCTGTAGGTAAAACACATCAACCCAAAACACACACATGAAGTACACTCACTACCTCTTGAAATGAGCTGGAGCTAGAGTCTGAGATTCTAAAGCAAAGTGACGATTGAAAGTGTAGCAAATGATCAAGCTTGTTTGTGTCGTTTTATTGTCAGCAGGGGAGTTGCCTTAATAGAGTAGAAGACCACTACAGTTAAAAACTTGGCTCATCTTTGACTGAGTAAGCATCTTGGTTTTGTAACACTCCTTGGCTCAATGCTCACTGAGTGACTGCATCCGACCTTGTCATGTGTTCTTAACATGTTAGTAGATCCAAGCGTGGCGAGGACGTTTCTCGGGAGGTGAGCTAGGTTTCATCCATGAGGACTCATAGAAAACTAAGTTCTGTTTAACTGCTTTGGATAGTTGTGGAACTCAGTTATGAGATCCAATTGGACTTGATTTGTTTCAATGAGATTAGTGGGGTGGGGGATGTGGGACTTTCTATGTTGAAATTTTCAAAGTGAGCGCGTGAAAGTCCTAGAGATTCTTCATGACAGCTTCAACATAAGGTGCTTTTATTGTAGACGAGCCCGTCATGTTCACTCAAGGTTAACCAAAACTGCATAAATTCGGAAAGTTAAAATTCAGTTAAAATCACAATTCGCAAATAAGGATGTGACTTTCAAGGAAATTTCAGGTGTGGAAAAGTGACCAGCAACCGGGTGAGTCATGTATTACATACACCTCATGCTCTCGGTTAATAATCAGTTGGATTTAAGTTTAATGTGCAACACAACCATGAAAATATGGACACAGTGAGCAAATAAATCTAGGTTCGACCACAATGCAAGCCTTGCTCTAGGTGGGTTGCCCTATGACAGTTGCTATGACTCCATGACAGGAATCTTAAAATTTAAATGTTAAATTCAGATTCTGCGTGCGTCGACAAGCAGATACGTTAATTGTCCTATTTCAATTCATAAGAATGCGTGATAACCTGTAACCGATACAGTTGAGAACGACGTAATCAGTCAAACGATGACAAGTAGCAACATCAAGAAACCATATAAGCTTCGAACTAGAAGTGTAGGCCCACTTTTTGATCACTTTGGGTGCATGCTGTGATTATGTCGATCACACTCTTTAACGGGCACTAATCGAGTACATTTCTCTCTTGTTCCTCCACAGAGACTGCGAGTGAGAGATGCTCAATGAACTGGTACATGTTGAGTAAAAGGGTTTAGTGTCGAGCGAGAATAGAGACCTGCGAAGGCCTCAGTGGTCCACTTTCTATCGACTGGTTCGACGATGTTTTGTTATGCTTGTACGCACAATTGAAGACGTCTGGTGCAGTGTGTGTTGTTTGTAGCTGGGGACCATCATTTAAGTCACTTATCCGCCGCAGTAAAAGTTCTGCGGGTGAATACGGTGACTGTCGTTTTGTGCGAGTTCAGGGTTACTGTTCTTGCAATCTTATTGTACCAGCAAACTCTGGAGTTCTTCAATTGGCTTACGTAGGGTCTCAGCCACTGTTTTTGATTCCTTCGTACCATTTGTCATCAGTTTTTACATGATTTTTTGTCTGTTGTGTGAATCATCGACATCAGTATATGATCGATTCACTGGATCAGAAATATTTCCTTTTCTGAGAATTTCTAATATTTTAATCTGCATGTTCAGCTTTATTTGCAAGTCACTAAGTGAGAACAAAGCTTGCCAGTATTCAGACAGACTTAGTTCGCGCATTAGTATGGTGTAACTGTTCAGGGTTTGGCAACCATCCAATATTCTATCCATTTTCGTTGCCTACTGTTTGGAGAATTGCTGAGTGCGTTTGGAGTGATGGGAACAAGGCTCATGTCCCTACTTTTCACGGAACAAGAGCACTTGAACAGCTTATCCTTGTGGAGAGGAAACATCATGCATGAGGCAGACGTCGAAGGAGGAGGGGAAGGTCCATACTGTAGACCGAAACTGCCTTTCACCACAACAGTCCCAGCAGGATTCTCGGGAGGTGCAATTACAAGTGAGCAGTGGCCACCGCGATCCTACTCCTGCAATTTCTGCAAACGCGAGTTTCGCACGGCGCAAGGCCTGGGAGGCCACATGAACGTGCACAGACGAGAGAGGGCTCAAGCAAACCAACTGTCCATCTTGACGAACTACAACGAAGGATTGCCTCCCATTCCGACAAACTCCTGGGAAGTGATGAAAATAGATTGGGCACGAGGTTACTACAACCAGGAAGTACCATCCAAGCATGCATCCTCTTCATCTCCCAACCCTTCACTTCACGGGAGATTTCACTCTCCTGATAATCCCGAAGATTCTATTGACCTAGAGCTTCGACTCGGACAGAGATCTTACTGCATCACATGAACGTCTAATCTGTCTAGCTCACTGGTGCAGATGTTGGACTAGATGCAGATATTATATTATCTAGAGGTAGCGCATGTCTAGATTTTTATATTCTGATCTTAGGAAGGAAGACGTTATAGCTTTACATGGTGTAAACCACCTCTGCTGTGATCCAAACCAATGACTTAGACATCACTATTGTCGTGTTTATATAATTGACGTATCAGCCAATGCGTAGAATGAGCTTGTAAACTGTGGGAGAATATTTTAATCATTGTAGCGTCCACTAGCTCTGCGTTGGAACTGGTGCTGCTGCGTGTCTTGCAGTTTGGAATAGTTGTTGCTGTTGATGTGGTGATGATGGTGGTGGTGGTGGCAACGACGCTGAGCTCAGAGCCTGACACTCGCAGCAGCACTTGAGCATGCAACACCTTTTCTTCATTCCCTCATGAGGATTCTCATCCCTAATCATGCGTGAGCTGTAGCATTGTGCCCATGATCTTGTGTCAGAGCTGAAGCATGATTTCCTTTTCTCTTACATTTACAGATCCCTTTCATTTAGGGGCTCTGTGGTGTCTCGCAAACATCGATCCACTTCCCGAGAAGAACCAGAAGAATCAAGGTTGCTCTCCTTCCACAAAACAGTCAATTGGAAGGCAGATATATAAATATACATATATATTGATTATTGGAAAAAATTGAATAAATCATACTAATAAAATGAGTAGAATTTTCTTAAAAAAAACTCTCAATTGGATGAATTTCAGTAGAAGTGTATACATTGATTATTGATTGCATCATCTTGTACCATTTATATAGATAGTTGAATGCCTACAATTTTCTGAATGTGTTTTGGATTAGAAGTGAAGCTAGTATATCTACTTTCATATTGGAGGCACAGAAGTGAAATTCTTGTAGTTGATATTTTTTTAATTTCAGTTATTTTTTATTTTTATTTTTTATTTTTTTGTTAGAATTAAATCAATAATTTTTTTTTCTAAATTCTTCAAAGAAATATATGTAAAAAAAAATTATATTTGTATATAATAAATTTAAAAAACTCATAAAATAAAATTGTTTTAATTTTTTAATTTTTTATTAAACTTCTAGGATAATAAAAACTACCTCTTCTTGTAGAACAAAGACATTGTTATTATGAACTAATTTTTTTCATATTGAGTCTAACTAAGATATAGGCTACAACTTTGGTAGTGCCATTCCATTAAATTCTTTATGTTTTAACCTTAGAACCATCTTTTTTTCAAAATATAAAAGCTCTTGTTTTTCAAAGGTGTTGGTAGGGTCATTAAAGTAACATCCACCAATTCTTATTTGGCATTGTTTATAACAGAGACTAAGACAATATTTTATTGTCTTTAAAATCTTGAATTTTTTTCTTAATTAATAAAAAAATTCTTAACAAATTCTTTTACAATAAAATTATTTTAAATCTCTTTAATATAATTGCACAAGTTTTATTTTAATTATTATTTTTTTATTATAGAATAAACCATAGAATAAAACATTTCTATGTCAATCAAACATATCTTATATTACACATTCTTAAAAAAATTATGATTTGGATTAGCAATTTTCTAAGTTTTGGTTTATGCACCTAGCCTAATTGTTTCCAATCTATTAATTATAACAAGTTACTTTACTTGAACTAGTTGCATTCTATGAGGATCGAAATGCTCAAGAGTTACTGTATATTGTATAGTCGTGGGACAAAAAAGAATGTAAAATATTCACTCATAAAACGAAAAGACAGTGCTGCATACTTTGCAGAATGTTGAATCTGTGAGATGAAGGCAACTCACCACGCCCCAATGGCTGCAAACCAGGTATGAAGTTTATACAAAGCAGAAGAAGGTGACAAAGACACTCAAATATATCACACAACCACCCAACGCATCGATAAAAAATCATGCACCACCGAGTTTGTGGAATTCACAAAAAGCCGGCAACAACAGTCCAATTAATCATTCAGCATTATGCAACACCAACCCAAGACTTCCCATTGTTTGTAACACCAGGGAACGACAGATTCGACGATGCAGACCGAAGAAATGTACTAGAAATAGGGTTGGATTAAAAGTGTGGAATCGCAGATAATGGAACTATCCACACTGATGAATTGTCCCAGTGACTCCAGCTCTCGGAGGATCCAATGACAGACGCCCGAAGACCATGTCCACAAGGTTGAAGTTTCTTAACAGAATCTGGTAGTGATGATGATTGCCTTGACCTTTTGGCCACTAGCAATCATAAATCAAACATTAAACAACGCTTGTTGTGAGGGGTAGGCTACGCGTAGCAAGCATCGTGGGAGAGGGGCTCTTCGGCAACACACTCACGCAATCACCAGGTGTTCAAAACATTTGGGGCCCGTTTCCACCGACGTGCCGGAAATCCTAGAAACTCGCAACCAGAGGGTCCTGGATTTGACAATTCTATCAGTCAAAGGAGCAACCTCGGCTCAGCGGATTGATCGACAGCAGGTATTGGATCCCTCCGCTGGCGTATCGCGGTGAAACTTGCGACTAGCAAGTAGCCGTGGGCCTTCGCACTGGCTTGCAAATGCCCCGGTTCTGTCGCGTGGCACACGATCTTTCGGAAAGAGCACGCAATTTAGCGAGTCGGTCCTGTCAAATTGCACCCGAGTCCCAACATGAAGGAATTTGACGAGGAGACGGTGAGACGTGATCGGGGGAAGCCTGCTGTAGGGCGGCGCGGAATAGTCGCCGCGGTTCCAACCTGGCGGAAGGTCAATTCCCCTGGTCCAAAGAAGCCACAGGCAACAATGAGAATCCACAGCAGTCAGCAAACAAATTCAGTAGCTTGAAATTAGAAGCTGGAACTCACCCACCAGATGTGAGCTCACCCACCTGAATCTTCGCAAGTTTTAGGAGGAAGGATTAGATTGAGCTTCTGCATTGTCTCAACAAAACTGATCCATGTTATGACTCCAACAGCTGCAACGGAAGACAACCAACTTGCAACACTTCTGTCTACTTAGAAAAGACCGAAACCAGACATTGTTAGATAAATTCAATCTGTACAGGAAAGTATCCATTTCCAACACATTATGTGTTGTTTTCTTCAATCTTCATGTTGCTTTCAATATGTATACAAAAACCCGAACCTTAGGTTCATTGTTGAATAATAGCATGGATTTGATGATTTGATTATGAATGATGATTAAATTTTTCTATTAATTTTAGGGAGTTGTTAAAGCCACACCCCACATTACCATCAGAATTTCTGAAATAACTGAAAGTCATATAAGAATTTTTTTAACTAAAAAATATAAAAATAAAGTTCTAATAAGTATTAAAGGAAATTATGCTTATTAATTTAGTATTTTATCTTTTTTGTAATAATTTATGTTATATTTTTAAGACCAAAGTTTCAAATGGTCTTCTCAAATGGTAGTTATTAAATACTCGCAAATGATAGTTATCAAGCACAATAAGTATAAAAAATATCATGAATTTATGGTGATTTATTTTTAGATTTTTTTTTTTTTTTTTTTTGAATTTATCACTGTTAGGAGCAATTATAAAGAATTGAAATAAGATTTGAAAGCCTTGCAAGATTCTTATGTTAATTGGTTTTTTTTTAAATACAATTGGTTAATTCAAATTTACAAAATATTATTCTAGACACAATAACCTAAAATGATTAGAAACTAAAAGTAATAATAATACTAGTAATAAATTAGATATATATGTCTTATATAAGTTATAGAACCTTAGAAGAAGTTAGAAACATGAGATTAAGGCTTTGTGGCTCTTATAGGATACCTTAGACACTACTTATGAGTCTTGGTGAAGTTCAAAATTTCAATCACATAATCAAGTTATTCTTGAGATAAATCTAAATTGCCTAATTTTTTTATTATCTACTTTTTATAATCAAATTATCATAAATTTTTCATAGTGACTTAATTTTTTATATCATTAAAAATATAAAATAATTACCTACAAAAATATTGACTATTTATTTTTAACTTTTATCAAATAAACATCTACTAAATAAAAAATTTGTAGTTTTAAAGTATGAATTCTTTTTATTATTCTCCTTTAACTAATTTTTTATTTTTTATTTTTTATTTTTTATAATTTATATTATTAATTATAATTTATTTTTTGTTAAAGCTACTATGAAATTTGAATTCAAAAAATGATTATATTGCCACAATTAAAACGTATTTTTAAAACTTCTAATTACTTCCCATATTAAGTAAAAAATAATAAATTTCATAAAATATACATTTATAATATAAAAATATTAAATTACCATTTTTTTTTTTTTTTAATGAGAAGCATTGTCTTAGATTAATTTAAGAAAATTGAGTTTCTAAAATTATTTTTTATATAAATTATTTTTACAAGAAATTATCTGATGATTTTTATTTTTATTTTTTTATTTTTATTTTTATTCTTTTATTTTAAAAAATTATTTTTTTTCATTTTAAAAATTAATTAAACATATATTAGAATTTTTTAATAAAAAATTTTAGAATAGATTTATAAAAGAAAATATCAAAGAATCATTCATTAATTTCACAAAGCCTTTTAGAATCACGTAAAGCTAAAAGATAGTATTTTATAACATATATATTACTGAAAAGTAATAAAATCATAAAACATGAAAGAGAAGTGATCAAATTTGATAAATATGCCTAGTAGGGCATTTACACATTTTTTATTGAAAAATTGTTTCTTTTACATTCAGACTCTCAATTTATCAAGGCATCTGGATAGTTCCAAAACTTAGATTTTAATATATGTGGTTCTTTTTTGATTGTTACTACTAGCAATAGATTGTGATGCAGTTAATACTTTGTTATAAATAACATAAAATAAAATAAATAAATAAAATTACAAATAAAATATTCTTAAAAAAAAGAGCTTACATTTTTGGTTAAATATTAGTCTTTAACTAATGGTTGCTGAAAGCATTTGATCAATATTAGTCTTTAACTAATTGTTTCTTTTACATTAATTAGTATAAATTTTCTTTTACATTAATTTTTGGTCAAATATTAGTCTTTAACCAAAAATTTCCTAAGTATCTTACAAGAATTTTAATATTATAATTTTTTCAAAAGCATGCTGTGTAAGAAATATAAAACCAAATCTTTCATCCAGCAATAATAAAAATTTATTAATTCTTGTATATACATTGAGAAGTTTGTCAATTGTTTAGTAAAATCGTCTTCATTAGAAATTAGTCTAAGTAAAATAAAAAATTATATGTTTAAGTTCCTTCCATGTTTGAAAAATATCCAAAGATTGGTGTTAAATCATAATTTTGTGTAGAACAAGA